CGAGTGCCAGTGTGCCACTGCCCTCCCTTTGTCTCTCGCTCACTCTCTCTCCTGCTGCTGTAATTCAGTCGTTCATGGCACAAAACTTGATTAAATATCATCACAGCCAATTATAATTGTATAATTTTATACAGTTATTACAATAACAACATATGTTTCTGTGTCTGGATGAATGCATGTGTATGTTTATGTACTTTAAACAAAGATTTAGGCAAATTCTATCAAATCAGTACTTAAATTATTTGTTACAATAAATGATCCTTATGTGCTGATAATATTACACTACTAGAGTCTCATTGCTTCAGCACAAACCATGGTTTGTTTTCTGTTGGGTATTTTTTCAGTTTATGGTCGTTGGTTCTTGATTAGAATCTGTCTCTGCTTCAGATGTTCTCTGTCAAGAGGAAATAACGTTCCTAAATTATACTACTTTTTTTAAAAAGTAAAGGAACACTTTTTTCATCAGTTTTAGCACCTTTGGTGTTTGGCATCAACAGGTGCACTAGAGGGGCAACAAGTTTTCACTATTTTGCATTTGGCTAAGGCCAGTGTCTCTACTGGTAACACGAGGCGATATGTGGACCCTACAAAGAACATCAATACGTGCCATTGCCAGAAGACTTGCTGTGTCTCCTAGCACGCTCTCAAGAGGAGATTGCAGGAGACGGGCAGTTCTGGGAGAGCTGGACTGGACCGTACATGGGCCTTAACCCATCAACTAAACCAGTATCTGCTTTTTGTGCAAAGAGGAAAAGGACAAGCACTGCCAGAGCTACAAGATGACCTCTGAACAAAAAATCAGAAACAGATTCATGAGGGTACTGTGGAGGCTGATTGGCAGAATTGACAGGCCCACATCTGGCACCCTGTGCTTTTCACACATAAGGGCAGGTTCACCTAGAGCACATGTTGCAGACTTGTAAGAGTCTGGAGAAGCCATGGAGCCACCCACAGGCTAGGTATTGGCACCCAGAGTCCCACTGTGTATCAAGAGGGAATACTTGGACCCATTGTGAGACCCTACACTGGCCAAGTGGGTCTCGGTTCCTCCTGGTGTACGACAATGCCTAGCCTTGTGGGCTGAGAGTATGAAGGCAGTTAGGAGGATGAAGAAATTGATACTGCTGACTGGCTCTTATACTCTCCTGACCTCTGGGACATTATGTTTCAGCTGACGTTGTCAGGTTGTGCCTCAGACTGTCCAGGAGCGCAGTGATGCCCTGATCCAGATCTGAGAGGAGATCGCACAGGGCACCATCTGCCGTCTCAATAGGAGCACACCCCATACAAGCACATGGTGGACATACAAATTATTCTGTATTATTTTGATTTCAAATGATGTGGCACCCGAACACATTAAGGTTTTAAAGAATCAAAAATGACCACAACAAAGAATGGGAACCCAGGAAGCAAACTCGTAACATTTGATTTGTTTTTATCACGGTCAAACTATAACATACAGCAAATATATCCATGTATCTGAACCTACAGCTACATACAGTAGTGGCATTAATATCAGCCCACTGCTGGAAACATGAAAATACCCACCTGGACCTGTTATAGTGTTAAATCTTAGGAAAGCTGTCAAGTAAACTAGAATTTGCAAACTCAAAGTGGATTTATGATTCTCTATTTTGAATGCTGGTTATTATTAATCTGGCCCATCCTGCTCGACATTCGGTATTTTCCCTTTTCTTCGTCTTGCTCTACCTTCCTCTATGCCTCTATGTTTGTAGCACACAAACGATGTCATTATGGCAATACCCATATTTACTGTATATATAACAAATTGCCTATGAAGTCTGTGGTTACTGCTGCAGTAACCACAGACTTCATGAACCCCCATCTATGTCCACTGTGAGCAACCATCTTTGAACAGAGGCGGTGGCTTACGACACCAACGGTCTGCCATCTATAATCCAGTTTTGAGATCCCATCCCTGA